CCCGCTCGCCTCTCCCCACACCGGACCCGCACCCGGAGCGTGGCCCAGCGCGGCTGTGGCCGCCACGTGGCACCCCGGCCTCGCAGCCCAGCCGGGATCCCGGGTCCGGCCCCGATCCAGAGGGAGGGGGAGAGATTCCCCCAAAACAAGCAGCCCACGCCGCTCGGAAGCCAGTGCCTGCAGCCACCCTCATGGCCCCGGTCCCCCCTGAATTCCAGAGTGCGCGTGACTGCAGAGCCATGAGCGTCTTTCCTGAACGCAGGAGTGTGCCCACCCACGACCTCCTCCCCCCGCATCCCGGGCTGGAGCGGGATGAAGGGCTGTCTAGCCGCGTGTGGCCTTGAGGCCTGAATCGCGGCCAATCCGGATGGAGATGTGCAGAGCGTAAAACACAGCCCAGACTCAGAAAACTTAGTTCCCAAAAAAAAGAAAAAAAAGAATGTAAACTATCCCACGAGTAACGTTGTCACTGATTATGTGCTGAAGTGCTAATATTGCAGATAGAGTGGATTACATACAATGTAGAGTTACTTTCATTGTACCTAGTTATTTTTTAAAATGTGGCTAACAGAACATTTTATTTTTTTTTGCTTTTTTTTTTATTGATTTTTCACAGAGAGGAAGGGAGAGAGATAGAGTTAGAAACATCGATGTGAGAGAACCATTGATCAGCTGCCTCCTGCACATCCCCCACTGGGGATGTGCCCGCAACCAAGGTACATGCCCTTGACGGGAATCGAACCCGGGACCCTTCAGTCCGCAGGCCGAAGCTCTATCCACTGAGCCAAACCAATTAGGGCAAGAGAACATATTCTTTAAATTGACTGGCTTTGGGAGTGATGCATGGACCTCTGTACGCCATAAGCATCTGTAGACACAAGCGGCAGGTTTTTAAAAATTATATTCAAAATATTGTGGGGCGTGTGGGGATGGTTTCCGGGTGGGGATGGACGCGTGGCAGGTCACGGGTTCATCTTGGCTCGCTGGACTGCAGCTCTGCAGGAGCACACACGCTGGTTGGTTATTTTGCCTTCCTGTGGTCAGGGTGTGTGCAGGGAGGTGAAGTGTCCCGAGGGCCGGGAGGAAATGGGTCCCACCCAGGCAGGAAAAACACTCTCAGTTCTCACAGAAGGGGCAGCACGTCGCTGGTCCGGAATGTCTGTCTGCAAAGCCATTTCAGACCCTGAATCACCCTGGGATCAGGACTACTTCCTCGGAACCTGCAAAGGGGGTGACCATGTTAGGGGGGAGCTTTCCTGGGAAACCCGTCAGCACAGGCCTCCTCCTCCTAGACCTGGGGTATATGTGGCGTGAGAGTGAAATACGGTTCTCAGGCGAATGCCACACATTGGGGCGATCAAGAGGTATGTGTACTTTTGAGCAAATGCTGAGTTATTACCTTAGGTCTGTGGTCAGCAAACTGCGGCTCGGGAGCCACATGCGGCTCTTTGGCCCCTTGAGTGTGGCTCTTCCTAAGCCTTAGGAGTACCCTAATTAAGTTAATAACAAGGTACCTACCTATATAGTTTAGGTTTAAAAAATTTGGCTCTCAAAAGAAATTTCAATCGTCGTACTGTTGATATTTGGCTCTGTTGACTAATGAGTTTGCCAACCACTGCCTTAGGTCGTAGCATTTATTCCAAGCAGGTTCACAGATTAGCGCCCACGACAGCCAGGAAAGCATCTTAAAAATGAAGGGCTGCTACCCAGCTCGGTGCTCTTCATGTAATAAGCAAGTCCTGACTAACATGGGAGTCAGTACAGACAGTACGAATGGAGTGTGGTCTTTGGAACTCCGCTAAAAGCTAGCAGTTGTGACCTTGGGCAAGTTACTCTCTGAGGACCGGACTTCCTTCTGTGAGCGAGGGATGATTCAGAGGATTTGTGGTGACGCCATGACGAAATGTAAAGCCCAGGGTTCTTGGTAAGTGTTGTCAATTATCGGTCACGAAACTGGCTTCAGCTTTCACGGACCTAAAGCAATGTCAGTTGTGGATCTCACCGCCCATTCTGTGCAGTTAAGTGTGTGGATTTGACCAAGGCTGGCCCCTTGAGGTGGTAGCTGTAACTTGGTTATGCTGGTTCTGTGGAGCACCTTCCTTGTCTCAGATGTTTATCAGGAAGGTTTGGGTTCTTTGTTTGATAGTCATGTCTTACTAAATATAAAATATTGAAAGTAAATGACTGACAAAAGCATAGTATGTCCCCCAATTTTCTGGCAGACAGTTTAAAATTTAGTGGAAAATATAAAGCCAATGGGGGAAAATACATGGTTTGCCACCTAAAATATTGGATTTTCTCTGAAGTCAGTGAGCCTTCACACAACTCAAATACTAGTTATGTGAACAGTAAATGTGTGAGAGCCAAGACAGTTTTGAAGAAACACTCACTCTACCAGGTTTTGCAAGACGTTATAAAGTTCAGCTCATACCCCAAGCTTCCCCACTGGGCCTACTATGTGACCCTGGGACACTTATTTCATTTCCCACCAGGCCTACTGTGTGACCCTGGGACACTATTTCATTTCCCATCAGTCCTACTGTGTGACTGGGACACTATTTCATTTCCCATCGGGCCTACTGTGTGACCCTGGGACACTATTTCATTTCCCATCGGGCCTACTGTGTGACTGGGACACTATTTCATTTCCCATCGGGCCTACTGTGTGACTGGGACACTCATTTCCCATCAGTCCTACTGTGTGACTGGGACACTGTTTCATTTCCCATCGGGCCTACTGTGTGACTGGGACACTATTTCATTTCCCATCGGGCCTACTGTGTGACCCTGGGACACTATTTCATTTCCTACCAGGCCTACTGTGTGACTGGGACACTATTTCATTTCCCATCGGGCCTACTGTGTGACCCTGGGACACTATTTAATTTCCCACTGGGCCTACTGTGTGACTGGGACACTATTTCATTTCCCATCGGGCCTACTGTGTGACCCTGGGACACTATTTAATTTCCTACCAGGCCTACTGTGTGACCCTGGGACACTATTTAATTTCCTACCAGGCCTACTGTGTGACTGGGACACTAATTTCCCATTGGCCTACTGTGTGACTGTGTGACCCTGGGACACTATTTAATTTCCTACCAGGCCTATTGTGTGACTGGGACACTATTTCATTTCCCATTGGGCCTACTGTGTGACTGGGACACTATTTCATTTCCCATCGGGCCTACTGTGTGACCCTGGGACACTATTTAATTTCCTACCAGGCCTACTGTGTGACCCTGGGACGCTATTTCACTAGCTGTCTCCTCCCCTGTCCAGCTGCCTACTGCTGTACCTTGTTTCCCAGAGAAAGGGGAGGACTCGGGAGCTCCAAAGCATGGCTAAAGATCGCTGTGCCGATAAGGAAATAAATGCAAACAAGCCTACAGCCTTCTGAAGCTAAGCCAGCGCCAGCTGAAACCAGCCAGCCCTTCCACCTTCTCTGACCCAGATTCCTCTCCTAGAATCAGGTCACTCAGCCCCAAACTGTCCCGTGTTAACACCAAAGGAGAAAGAGGAGAGTCCTTTTCTAGATCTTTCTTGGTTTCTCCACAGAACTCATCACCAAAATATTTGTCATGATAGTAAATCCAACATGGATCACTTAGAATCTGAAATAAGAATATAAATTCATTTAACAGCCCCACAGTTATGTCTTATTGCACAAAGTCAGGCAAATTATCTGCAAATAACAATAACTGCTGTAGAGGTGTATTCTCTAATTAAATAAATATATATTTTATTTGAAGATTATTCCTTAATAAATATTATATTTAACAGTACAAAAAGGAAATATATTTACCAAGAACAAAGGTAGTGAGACTGTTTCTCCAGCTATAACTACTAGTAAGAGAAAATATAAAGATATATAAAAATAACTTTTTTGTAGCCATATAAAACTACCTTCTTAAAACACCAAATAAATAAGTACATTCAATAATTATCCATTAAGCTACTACCCTGTAGCTACTAATCTGAAATAACTAAAATTCAGTATCAGGGTCCTGGATTTACAATACTGTGTTTTTTCACTAACTTCTTCATCCGCTTAAATTTCTTCCTTAAGTCTTGATGATCTTGTTTTGAAATATACCGAAAATATCTACAACCTAAAAAATAAATAAAAGAAAGCAAAATAAAGAAAAATAGTTTTAATACTTATCAAATCCTTCAAATATACTTCTACATTTTTAGCTTTGCTTCATTCCTGGCATATTAATGATTATGGAAACAGAATGAGTTTTACTGTCTATAGTAGTGATGGCGAACCTTTTGAGCTCGGCGTGTCAGCATTTTGAAAAACCCCAACTTAACTCTGGTGCCGTGTCACATATAGAAATTTTTTTATATTTGCAACCATAGTAAAACAAAGATTTATATTTTTGATATTTATTTTATATATTTAAATGCCATTTAACAAAGAAAAATCAACCAAAAAAATGAGTTCGTGTGTCACCTCTGACACACGTGTCATAGGTTCGCCATCACTGGTCTATACCAACATACCTAAGCACACTCTCAGAGCATCGCCAATGAAATGTACTGCTTGCTACACACGAAGATGTTTCTGGTCCATCAACATTAAAGCGTCAACTTTAGCTGGTTTTCTAAGCTGCCTCCCACACCCTTACTTAGGTGATATGCATATTATATGCATTCACATATTAAATGAGCCTTCTCCAAAAGCAAATTATTCTAGATTCCTTCTCTTTTTTGTTGTTGTCTTTTAAATATATTTTTTTATTGATTTCAGAGAAGAAGGGAGAGGGAGAGAGAGACAGAAACATCAATGATGAGAATCATTGATCGATTGCCTCGTGCACACCCCTTACTGGGGATCGAGCGTGCAACCCAGGCATGTGCCTGGGACCGGAATCGAACCTGGGACCCTTCAGTTCCCCCGGCCGATGCTCTATCCACTGAGCAAACTGGTTAGGGCTAGAATCCTTCACAAAGTTAGCTTGTAAAAGCAGCGAAAGAGGCATCTATAATAATAAGGAAGTTATCTGTAGAAAACCTTGATGTAAAGCATTAGAATAAATAAACCATAGACAGGTTAGATCAGGAATTATCTAGTCATTCTAACCACCTAGCAAGTAGCTGGATGGTGGTCCTAGAACTCTGCCAAAGGTGCCTGGTGCCCATTTGAAGTTCTGCCAGGCCCTCTTGCCCATTTAAATATCGGATTGTTTATTTTTGTTGTTGTTGAGTTGTATACATTCTTTATATATTTTGGGTATTAGCCTCTATCAGGATTGTTTGCAAATATCTTCTCCCACTTAGTTGGCTGCCTTTTTGTTTTGTTGATTTCTTTTGCTGCACCAAGTTTTTTAGTTTGATGATGTCCCATTCATTTATTTTTGCTTTTGGGGTCAAGTTCACAAAATCCCCTTTGAGACCAAGGTCCCTAGTTTAGTACCTATGTTTTCCTCTATGTATCTTACTGTTTCGGGTTTTATATTCAAGTCTTTAATCCATTTTGAGTTAGCTTTTGTGTATGATGTCAGACAGCAGTTTAGTTTCATTCTTTTAACATTTGGCTTTCTAATTTTCCCAATACCATTCATTGAAGAGGCTTTCCTTTCTCCATTGTATGTTTTTGGCTTTTTTGTCAAAAATGAGTTGCCCATATATCTGTGGATTTTGGGGCTCTCAATTCTGTTCCATTGGTCTGTGTGTCTATTTTTCTGCCAATACCTTACTGTTTTGATTACTGTAGGGTAATTTGAAGTCAGGGAGTGTGATACCTGTGGTTTTGCTCTTTTTTCTCAGTATTGCTGTAGCTATTTGGGGTCTTTTGTGGTTCCATACAAATTTGAATTTTTGTTCTACTTCTTAGAAAAATGCCACTGGAGTTCTGATGGGGATTGTACTCCATCTGTATCTTGCTTTAGGCACCGTGGCCATTTTAGCTATGCTAATTCTTCTCATCCATGAACACAGCGCATCTTTCCATTTCTGTGTCTTCAATTTCTCTCAACAATCTCTTGTAGTTTTCTGTGTATAGGACCTTCACTTCCTTTAAGTTTATTCCTAGGTATTTTATCCTTTCCATTGCAACTGCAAATGGGATTGTGTGTTTTTTTCCTTTCTTTTTCTGATATTTCATTTTTAGTATACAGGAACACAACAGATTTCCGTACACTGACTTTGTGTTCTGCAACCTTTACTATATTTAGTTATTGTTGTTAATAGTCTTTTGGTGGAGTCTTTAGAGGACCCGAACAGACACTTTACCCAAGAAGACATATGGATGGCCAATAGATATATGAGAAGATGCTCAACCTCACTAGCTATTAGGGAAATGCAAATCAAAACCACAATAAGATACTACCTCACACCCGGTAGAATGGCTACTCTCAATAAGATAAGAAGTAACAAGTGTTGGAGAGGATGCCGAGAAAGGGGAACCCTGCTGGTAGGATTGTAAATTCATGCAGCCTCCATGGAAAACAGAATGGAGGCTCCTCAAACCATTAAGAATAGAGCTGCCATATGACCCAGCAATTCCTCTTCTGGGTATCTACCCCAAATATTTTTTAAGACACAATCATAAAGATATACGTATCCCTATTTCACTGTAGCATCATTCACAACAGCCAAGACACAGAAACAACCTAAGGTACCACAGTAGGTGAGCTGTCTGATCCAAGAATGGTCATACTTCGTATTTCAAAATCGTCTAGAAGAGACTTTTAGATAAAAAGAAAACACGTACCTTTTCCTAACAATATTCCAGCTACGAAAGCTTTCTCATAAGCCAAAGCTTTGTCCTCCTTCCAATCACTTTTTGCCCAAAAGGAGCTGAAGTGAAAGCCTGGCCACCAGTTTTTCCTGGAATTCCACTCTTCCTGAACCCAGGCAAGGTGACTTCTGGAAAAGAAAAAGGTCAATGTCGGAGACGGATCTACGCTGTCAGAACGGGGACTGAAGCAGAGCCTATGAACGATGAGAGGAAGGCGTTTTCAGACCAACGTCTGAGTCTGGCAGTGGGAGGGCACACGCATGAAACCACATCCGTCTGGTTCTCGTTGATCTCTATGCCCTATTTTCCATTGAACTAAATAGCCAGCTCAGTATAGCGCAGTGGTTAATGCCATAGACTCTGAAGTCAAAATCCTGATTCAAATCCCAGATCTCCCATTCGCTGTCCATGTGACCCTGGCCAAGGTGGGTAACCTCTCTGAGCCTCAGTTTCCTTGAGGATATTAATGGCACCGGCTCATAGCATTGTTATCAGGATTAAACGGGTCCAGCAATACAGCAGTCTCATGGAAAGCTCCTGGCAAATGTTCCTTAAATGTTAGCTATTATTACTACGTAAAAGTTTAAAACCTCATTGTAAATTACATGCTGCAAAGAATTCCTATCCGGATGCAGATATTATCATACAAATGCATGAACACACAGGTCTGACAGCTGAACCGGACAAGGCTAAGGGTTCATGAATGATTTAATTGAGCAAATACACATTTAGAACCTATTTGTGTCCTGTGGCAGAACTACAGGTTCAACAACTGAATAGGACATTTCTCTGCCTTCAAGAATCTTATGGTCAGCAGGGGTTCACATGGGGTTTAGACAGGGCTTTTGATCTGCAGAATGGTATGTCAACATAGAACACCAAAAACATTTTATAATCAGCTCTGTTCCATCCCCAGGATCAGGTCAGATCTGAAGCCTGAAACAGGTTCCCACTGATCATGAACTTCCTGACCAACCAAAATGGATACAATGAATTAAAGAAACTATTTTTTTAAAATATATATATATATGTGTGTGTGTGTGTGTCTATATATATATATATATATATATATATATATATAAAAAATTGATTTTAGAGAGGAAGGGAGAGAGAGAAATAGAAACATCAATGATGAGAGAGAATCATTGATTGGCTGCCTCCTGCATGCTCCCTACTGGGAGAATCTAGCCCACAACCTGGGCATGTGCCCTTGGCCGGAATTAAACCTGAGACCCTTTAGTCCACAGGCCGGCGCTCTATCCACTGAGCCAAACCGGCGAGGGCTGAAACAATTTTTTTAAATCCCTTCTTCTCACAAAGTAAAAATGTGACACTAATGATGTTATGATCAAAGTCATCGTTTTTGATTCCCAGCTCACAACGGACTTAAGAAATATTTGCTGAATGAATAACCTTCCATGATCTTATGAGGCCTTAAAACCCCACTGAAAACTATTGAAAACAGCTGGGAAGAAAGCTGCTTCCCACGTGATCTTAGAAGTTAATAACATGAAAATCCCAAAGAGCTTTATAAGAGTCCAGCAAGGAGTGGGAGTGACCCCGCCTCGTCCTGATTTCCAAGTTGAAAACCAACATATTCCCTAACCTAACAGTGGTACTTATTTTGTTAACGTAAAAGAATCTTGAGAGAATTTTTGTATGTTATACTTGTGAATTTATGTGTCCTTGTTTTTGATAAAATCAGAAGAAAGCAGCAGAAGACACAGTTCAAGAAAGGTCACTGGTTCCAGTCCCGGTCAGGGCACTTGCCTGGATTTCAGGCCCAATCCCCAGTAGGGAGCGTGCAGGAGGCAGCCTATCAATGTTTTTCTCTCTTCCTCTCCCTTCCTTTATCTCTAAAAGCAATAACAAATATTTTTTTAAAAATGAAATCCAAAAATTTAAGCAAATCCCTTATTTGCTTAAAAATTGACACATTATCAGCTCTAATATTGGGAAATACTATTAGTTATGCTGACCCGGTAATAAATACCATGCGTCTCTTACTTACCCCATTAAGATCTGTCTGAGATATTTTGCCAAATATTGCCAAGCAGTCATGTTTTTAGTGCATCCAGCAAAATCTAAGACACCGAATAGTACCTCCAGCCCCAGTTTATGGTGCTCTTCTTTGTCTGCAATGGTCACAGCAATTAGGGTTCACACAAGAAACTGAGGCACACAAAGCTAAAACAAACATTTCATCAGCTGATACAATATTACTGAACCATAAGCCCTCTAATTCAGCTAAAAATTTAAAACAATTCATTGTACTCGTACTCTCCTGTGAAGAATCTGGAAAATTTAATAATTCAGTCCATGCTACTAATGTCGGAATGTGGATTCTCATCTCTGAATGGGCTATACAACTGAATGCCTGAGTTAGGGGCATCCATCCCCCCATCCCCACAGTCAAACACACGTCTAACTTTTGATTCCCAAAACCCTTAACTACTAAGGGCCTACTGTTGGCCAGAGGTCATACCGATCACACATCCTCTGTCTGTTATGTGTATTATATGCTGTATTCTTACAATACAGTAAGCTAGAGAAAAGACAATGTTATTAAGAAAATCATGCCCGGCCAGTGTGGGTCAGTGGTTGAGTGTCGACCAATGAACCAGGAGGTCACGGATGGATTCCCCGTCAGGGCACATGCCCGGGTTGTGGGCTCGATCCCCAGTGTGGGGCGTGCAGGAGGCAGCCTATCAATGGTTCTCTCTGATCACTGATGTTTCTCTCTCTCCCTCTCTGAAATCAATCTATATATATATATATATATATATATATATATATATATATATATATATATATATATGTTTTTTTTTTTTTTTTATTTTTTTTTAATCATGAGGGTTACAGCATTTATTGAAAAAATCCTGCATGTAAGTGGACCCACACAGCTGAAACCCATGTTGATCGAGGATCAACTGCCTACACCGAGAACATTGTTTAAAGCGCCTGCCCTGTGTGGGCAGGTCACACATTGTCTCCTACGAAGAGAGGGCATGAGACAGGCTCGCTACCTCCTGGACTTAAGCTGGTTTCTCCCTATGAAGCTACATTCTTCTCTATATGGAGGTGCAAGGCAGCAGTGATCGAAACGAGGCGAGTTATATACACTACAGCCACTTCTCTTTGGCCGACTGTTGCCTAGCATGCTACAGCAGCATCAGCAAACTTTATTTGTAAAGGGCCAGACAGTAAACATGTAGGCCAGGGGTGGGCAACCCCTGGCACGCGTGCCAAACATGGCACGCCAGTAACTTTTGCTGGCACGCGAAACCCTCTCTTATAATCTTCCGTTTACAATTATGAATCTTTGTTCTCAGTGATGAATTGTGTTAAGTCTCGTAATAGGAGTAGCCTGATGGATGAAAGTAGTAGCTCGTGCATATCTCTGAAGGTCACGAAATAGAAACCTGATGTAAAATCTCTGTCATCAGTAATGCGGCAGCAAAAGTCCCACTGATAAAATCAAACGGAGTCCTAAAGTTTTCTGTCGGACCATCAGTGTACATGTATACATTAAAAAATAAATGTATTTTTCATCATCATATACTGTGTTTTTGTCGCTCGAATGAATTTTATTATTTCTTCAAGGGTTCTTCATATACGTACACCTTAAGAGATATCAAGTAGGCGTTAACATGTTCTCAAAAAATTAGGGTTGGCACGCAGAAGAATTTTGAGTCAGAGATTTTGCTGGTTTGGGCACGCACTCACAAAAAGGTTGCCCAGCCCTGATGTAGGCTTTGTGAGCCGCGTGGTCTCTGTGCTGCCGCAGTGCAAAAGCAGCCACGGACCCACGGACACCAGGGACACCACGCCAGTGCAGGGAGTGGCTGGTGAGCAATGGATTTGGCCCAGGGTCCTTGGGCTGCTGACACCCTCGTCCACAGCGTGTCTGCCCACAGGGATGTAAAACACACAGGACTCACCTGATTTCCTCAGTAACCTATGGAATTCCAACATCAGTGTATGAGACGGTACAATCTGATACAAAATCTGGAAGAAAGGATAATCTTGTGTTATTTGCACATTCAAAAGGCATTTCTCAAATGTCAGCTTACTTTTCAAAGAAAGTTCTTACTCGCGAATAGCCCTTCAGTGAATGAATCACGGATTTAACACTTAGCTTTTATCCAGTTTCAATTCGGGTATAGAGAGGATTCTCTGTAAAGCTATTGTTTAAAAATCACTGATAATAACTAGATAATCAGAGGTGTAGGGGAAACAGATGGAGACTTTTTATTTTCTCCTTATACATTTTTTATACTGTTTACCACACTTAAAAATTTAATTTCTTTTCAGAAGTCAAAACTGAGGAAAAAAAAATAAAGGAAGAAAACTATTTCACACAGGCCCAGCCAGTGTGACTCAGTGGTTGAGTGTCGACCCATGAACCATGAGGTTCCCGGTTCGATTTCCGGTTGGCGTACATGCCCGAGATGCAGGCTCGATCCCCAGTAGAGGGCGTGCAGGAGGCAGCTGATCGATGTCTCTCCCACCGATGTTTCTATCTTTCTATTCCTCTCCCTCCCTCTCTCTCTAAAAACCAATTAAAAATCTTTTTTAAAAAAATCTATACCTTAAGCACACTTATCAGTTTCTCTCTTGGTGCCTTCTCCCTCTTCAGGAAGTTGTATAAGTAGACGTGCGCGTTCGGGTTGGATGGGAACTTTTCGTCGTAGGCATAATTAGTGAGGACCTCTCGGGCCCCATCTTGATCCCCATAGAATTCCAGCATCTACATAAAAAAAACATAGTATCTTAGCTAAGTTCTGTCAGACAGTTACATGAAAGATAATGCACAAGTTAATGATGGGCACAAAAACGTCATAAAACTGAAAAAGAGCATTGGCAGTGGGGTATGGTGGTCACACCCGTTTCTGCTCTCAGCAGCATGTGACAGCCTCTGTGGAGGACAGAGGCCGCTTACAACAAAGGCCTGCTGGCTTCCCACTGTATCCTTATCCTATTTGTTACTGAAAAACGCAACAACTTCACGTAAGAACTGTTCCTATAAGAAATGAAGCGCTTACAGCAGAGCACTCTAGGCTGGAAAGAGAACACAGGACGTCACTCGCCTCGGTGCCCTACGTAACGTCAGCCACAAAAGGGGTGCGTGGGAAGTACAGTCCCTTTCATCCCACTCCAACGTTACCCGGAAACTTCCAGGCTCACCAGCATCCGGCCTCAGAGATGCTCTTCTGACAACACAATGACCACTTCAGCACTCAGGAAGCATTCACAAAGCCAATTAGTGTGAGGGTTTATTCAGTGCCTGGGGCCAAGGCCCCCCGTCCTTCCATCATGACTCTGGGGTGACAGCCGTTATTCTTCACCCGATATATCGTGACCTAATTTCAGATTTCTGTCCCCTTCCGTTCTACATCTCATCGAGTCATAAAAGATCTTTCTGCTTTTCTTTTAAGCTCGATAAGAATAATATGGAGTTGGCATTTACAACTATATTGTGACTTATTTTATAAATATATGGCCCTGACATGTTATCCAGCAGTAAACACATACAAAAGTAGCATTTACAGTATACTAGTAAAATAAACAAAAAATGTTCAGGCCAAAAAGAGAGACTTTTTTTTTTTTTAACAATTTCTAAATATTCGTTTCCTTCTGATCAGTAGAGGTTAGGCTTATAGTAAAAAGGAAACTGATAAAATGTTATGAAAAGTCTACTTACCTCTACATAGCTCTTCACAAAAGGGTCCCAAACTCCGGGCGTCTGAATCAATGCAGAGAAGTTGGTGGACGTCTTCCAGCTGTGCTTGAACATGTTCTGAGAGGCTGTGCTGTAAGCATAGTCATCCTCATCTAATCAAAGATCAAAGACTTTTAAGAATCACTCAGAACTGACTGCAGAATCAGCAATCAGTAACTACCCACAAGAAAAGCTCAGGCCCTGACGGCTTTGCTGGTGAATTCAAACGTTGAAAGGATGAGACTGATTCTTCACAAACTCTTCCCCTGCCCCCCTCCCCAAAAAAAGAACAGAGGGAACACTTCCCAGCTATACTCTATGAGGCCAGTATTACCCTCAGACCAAAACCAGACAAGGACAACACAAGAACATGAGGGACCAGTCTTTCTAGAAACACCGATGCAAATATCCTCAACAGAATACTAGCAAATTAAAGTCAGGACAGTGGTTTTCTCAAGGCAATGGAAAGAGAGGCACCAGTGGGGGACTTCATGGTGACAGCAATGCTGTGCCCCTTAACCTGGGTGGCAGGTACATGGATGTTTGTTTTGTAATTATTCATTCTACCACACATTTGTTTTATATGTTTTTTTTCTGTCTATATCCCTTCCATTCTATATCCCATCGAGTCATATAGCAGATCCTCAAATAATATCTTGCGTTCAACATCATTTCGTTAGACTGTTGATGACATGCCACAGGAACTTGACTCTTGTTTATATCAATCAGCCTGTGGTAAAACTGGTTTTATCACATGTCATTTCGCTTATTAAAGTCACAGAACCTATCAACGATGTTAAGTGAGCACTTACTGTATATTTCACAACCTTAAATGTTTAAAAGAAAGTCAGTCTTTCAAAGGCAACAACTAACAGACGACCAAAATACTTTTTGGTACCAGTGCTACATTTTAACCAAAAAACTAACTCATCCCCCCAAAAAAGAGGGATTGGTATTCTCTCCCCAGTAGATCAACTGAATAAGTATCAATATGGACTTGAAAACGAGGTGATAAGAGGAAAGCAGGTAAGAAATGGTATAGAAAACTTTTTTAAAAAATTGATTTCAGAAAGGGAGGGAGAAGGAGAGAGAATCATCGATGGGCTGCCTCTTGCACGCCTCCCACTGGAGATCAAGCCCGCAACCCGGGCATGTGCCCCGATTCAGAATCGAACCGTGGTTCATAGGTCAACGCTCAACCACTGAGCAACACCGGCTGGGCTAGAAAAACATTTTAAAGCAAAAAGGCAGATCCCTGAGTAAGTCTACGTTGGGTGTGAACTTCCAGTGGAAGGAGGTTCCCAGTCGCCAAGTGCATGAAATCCAACCAGGGCAGGCCACCGCAGCAGCAAGGGATGGTTATGTGCTATGTCCTTAGGAGCTTAGGAGAACTAGCCATAGGTTTTTTCCTATTAAATAGACATTGGAGGCTGGAAGGCGTGTAAAGAGCTCCACGTGTCATCCCATCTTCCTCTCCTGTTGCTACAGAACAACGAACGGCTCAGCTGCAGGAAGGGCCTGGACCATCTGTCCGTGGGGGAGATGGTGTCAATGCCAGGTTCCAACGGCTTCTGTCATCAAATATTTGCATCAGTTCTACCTAACCACGTGTAAGAAAGTAAATATTGAACTGAAAACTTACCTCATCAACATCAGCAAGCCTGTTGTTTTTTAAAAAAAAAATATCGCAGCGGGCATTGTAGCGAGGTGAACTGAATTAACAGCAGACAGACACGGGACCTCGAAAGATGTGACTGGTGCAGACAGGGAGATACAACAGAAAACACACAGGGGAAAGCTTAGAGCAATTACAAAGCAAGAGGCGAAGAGTCCAATAACACAGGCTGCACAGGAGGCTGATCTACCGGGTTCAAGTGTAAGGATAAGGGGTCTACTGAGTCTTGATGGGCGGAGGGCATTCTGGGTAAGGGGGTGGCATGACGACCACACAAGGTTATCACGATGAAGACGTGCCTCAGAAGGGTCTTGGGAGAGGTCGGAAGTAGGAAGAGGGAAGGGAATTCTGAGGTTAGCAAAATCACACGACCAGAGACCAAGGAAATACTACTTATCTCATAAGCATAATAAGAAAACACTGCTTACCACACACGACACAATAAATACCAAGACTGAGATTTGGATAGAAAACAAGAACCCCTACACGTGCCTTTCCTTTCATTGTCTTGAGAAAACCACTGTCCTGATTTTAATTTGGATTAAAAAGGGGTTAATCCCAAAAGAAGCTACAGAGAAGAACTAAACAAGAGAAAGGAAATGAAGACAGCCTATAGCTTTAAAGAACACAGATGCGGCGCTAGCACAGGATACCATCACCAGTAAAAAGTAAGAGAAAGGGAACCAAGTTTGAGACGGACACATGGTCAGTTTCTGGTCTGATCCAAAGAAGTGTCTGTGCCCAGCTGGTGTGGCTCAGTGGTTGAATGTAGACCCATGAACTAGGAGGTCAGTGTGATTCCCGGTCAGGGCACATGCCCGGGTTGTGGGCTCCATCCCCAGTAGGGGCATGCAGAAGGCAGCCGATGAATAATTCTCTCTCATATTGATGTTTCTATCTCTCTCCCCATCCCTTCCTCTCTCTGAAATGAGTAAAAACATATTGGGGGAAAAAAAGAAAAGAAAATGGTCTGTTATGACCTTTGTACAGAGATGAAACAACTTTATCTTGCTCTATTCTTTAAACCAGGGGTCCTCACACTACGCCCCGCGGGCCACATGCGGCCCGCCGAAAACATTTATCCAGCCCGCTAGGTGTTTTTGCCGCTGCTGTGTGCATAGGAATTTGTTCATAGTTTTTTTTTTAAACTATAATCCGGCCCTCCAACAGTCTGAGGGACAGTGAACTGGCCCCTGTTTAAAAAAGTTTGAGGACCCCTGCTTTAAACATAGTATTCTGAGAAACAACATTATAAAACACACTAAACCCCATTCTAAACCCACAAGAAGAAACATTTATGATATGCAAAGAAAATGATCACCTTTCCTGGAAATCATATTTAAAAACAGCAATGAATCTAAAATAGTCATAAACTTAATTTATGAATCATCTAAGTTTTGTCTGAAAAGGCTTTTGATACATCAATATGTAAAAGATGATGGAGAATTTTACATCCATAGAAACATCTGCTCTCTGTAACATCTGGATAAAGCTCGGCTGGGTGGTCGGGGATTCGATTTACTCCTTAAGATCCCTGTGTTCCTCTGAACCAGAATTATCCCCCAACAGTTCACTGGTACCCACTCACCAAGCTCGGACAGTTCCTTCTTCTTTTTAGACCAAGTGTAATATTGCAGGAGCCCTTTATAGGCCTGAACGAGGTTGATTAACGCCTCCTGGGAAGACGACTTTTCACCGTATCTCCACGTCTCCGCCTGGCTGAGATTTCTGCTGGCGTCGTCGAACATCCCGTGATGCAGAAGGTACAACGCGTGTTGCAAGGAGATCTGCAACCATAACGAGAACATGCGCCATGACGTGTTGAGCGCTTAGAACACCGTTCGTCAGAAAGCTCAGTACACATAGGACGTATGTTGGGCCGAGATCTTGGCAGGACACACATGATGTAACAACACTGTCCCCGTCATCCAAAATTTCCATCTAGCAAAGAGGGAAGGGGTGTGGAACAGCACGAGGTGGGTGAGAGTAAAATGATGTCAGCTTACAAAGAGAGGACCGCGCGATCTAGGGAAAGAGCCTGTGTCCTGGCTCAGATGCTGCCCCAAAGCTGCATCAACAGAGAGGAGCCTGGTGGTTGCCAAGGGCCGAGGGTGGAGGAGGCGGGAAGATGTTGGTCAAAGGGCACACATTTTCAGTTATGAGATGAGTAAGTTCCGGGGACCTAATATACAGTACGGTAACTAGAGTTAATAATGCGGAATTGTATGCCCGAACGTTCCCGGGAGGGTAGAGCTTTAATGTTCTCACTATAACAACAACACAACGGTAATTATGTGAGAGGAAGGAGGTGCCAGCTCACCTTATTGTGGTAACTCTTTCATGATGCGTACATGGATCAAATCATCACACTGTACGCATTAAACCTACACAGTGATATATGCCAATTATATCTCCATAAAGCTGGGGGGGAAACGTTTTCACATATGCAAACTCTCAATTTGTTTAGTTCAATCCTTTTCCAAAAGTGCCGATTGCTAGAGAGCTCAAGCGACTTGAGCAAAGGATGAGAAGGTGGCCACTCAGAGGGCTGGTCTGGGCAGCTCGAGACATAGAACAAGCAGGTATTTTAACTCAGAGGTCAAGGTAGGCGACAGGAAACAGAGAAGTAGGCGGTTCTCACAGCACTGCTTCCTTTCAGCTTCTTATTTATCCAGGTCCCTAACACTCTGTCTAGGCCAATGATGGCGAACCTTTTGAGCTCGGCATGTCGGCATTTTGAAAAACCCTAACTTAACTCTGGTGCCATGTCACATATAGAAATTTTTTGATATTTGCAACCATAGTAAAACAAAGACTTATATTTTTGATATTTATTTTATGTATTTAAATGCCATTTAACAAAGAAAAATCAACCCAAAAAATGAGTTCGCGTGTCACCTCTGACACGCGTGTCATAGGTTCGCCATCACTGGTCTAGGCCTTTCACCTGACTACTTATCTCACTGCTGAGACCAGCTGTTTTGTTGAAATGAACACTGCAAAGGTAAATTCACAAAGCCCACGTTCTTACCGTTAAGTAATTCAAGACGCCAATATTTTTCATCCTGTCTGCAAAGGTATTAAAAGTCTCCACGCTGCTTTTGGGGTGATAATAGAGAATTTCACTTCCGAGTTTCCAAATAATCTGTCAAAACAGAAATTACTAACAAAAATGTAAAATCTTTGCCTTAACCAAAGTCTGCCTAAGAAAGCTATTTTTTTTCTGATTATTTCATTCAAAAGCAACCTACAGTTTCTTTTCCTAGATACCACCTCCATCAATATTTCACTACACTTCACCCAGTGAAACTACTATTGTATCACACGTGAATAAAACTTTCCCACCGATTAAAATCCCAGGTACCTATGATAGTGCCATTTTTAAATTAGTCGACTAAAGAAGGCAGGCAGTTGAGATATGCACTGAAGATAACATTTTTAACTAACATAGGAGAAAAACCAAATGAGAGCAATAGACTGGATACTTCCTGAGATCCCAGCGAGCTTTCTAAATACTGGCTATGTGTAACCTACATTTAGGGCTCAAATCGAAGAATGCGTATCAGCTACAGACAGATTTTAATAGAATATATTTTCTCCCCATGGCACCGCCATGCTGCTGACAGAACCTGGAGCTCTTTGTTTTCCATGGGGGTGAATCTCTGTTTCTCTTACCCCACTTTAAAGTAATTCAGTAACATTGACCTGAAAGTAAACTTAGTGAATTTTAAATCCGTTATTTCTATAAACATACAGACTGGTGGTTTGGTGTAACCATAAAACGCATCTTCCCAGCTTAGAGAGGTCAAGATCTCCTTTGCAGAATGCCAGACTGGAGTCTTTTGGAGCCTAAAGAGAACGTGGAGACTACCTATCACAGTGGACTTCAACCTGGTTGTACACAAGAACTACCCGTTAAAATTAAACACTGCAGCCCTGACCGGTTTGGCTCAGTGGATAGAGCGTCGGCCTGCGGACTCAAGGGTCCCAGGTTCGATTCCGGTCAAGGGCATGTACCTTGGTTGCGGGCACATCCCCAGTAGGGGACGTGCAGGAGGCAGCTGATCAATGTTTCTCTCTCATTGATGTTTCTGACTCTCTATCCCTCTCCCTTCCTCTCTGTAAAAAATCAATAAAATAAGATAAATAAATAAAAATAAACACTGCAGGGACTCAGACTCGGATTCAAACCTGGCACGGAGCCCCAGAATCTGCGTGTCCAACGAAAGCCCTAGACCAGTGGTTCTCAACCCTCTGGCCCTTTAAATACAGTTCCTCATGTTGTGACCCAACCATAAAATTATTTTCGTTGCTACTTCATAACTGTGATGAATCGTCATGTAAATATCTGATATGCAGGATGGTCTTAGGCGACCCCTGTGAAAGGGTCGTTCGACCGCCAAAGGGGTCGCAACCCATACACAGTTTGAGAACCGCTGCCCTAGACGATTCCAATAGAGCCAAACAAGCGCCTAGAAACCCCTGATCCGAGTCCCTCACTTCACAAAACAAACTCTGGACAAAAAGAGCCTGTGACTTGCCCAGTGATCTAAAGGTGCATGAAACGTTAGTCCATAAACTGAAGTTTCAATCAATGGGAAAACTTTTTCTTTCAGGTTGTTTTTGGCTCTATTAGATATCTAACTCATACAGTGGTTACTGTAACCTGGCCAGCGTGGCTCAGGGGTTGAGCAACATCGACCTATGAGCCAGGAGGTCAAGGTTCGATTCTCGGTCAGGGCACATGCCCAGGTTCCACGCTCAATCCCCAGTGTGGGGCGTGAAGGAGGAAGCTGATCGGTGATTCTCGTTCATCATTGATGTCTCTCTCTCTCTCTCTCTTCCTCTCCCTTCCTCTCTGAAATCAATAAAAAATATATTTTAAAAAATAAATAAATAAAAGCTATTTGAGATTTCCAGATGAAACTATTTCGGACAAACTGTTTTTTACTGAACAAATTTAACCGTATATGCAAGGCACCGTTCCAGAGCCCTGCCCTGCTGGAAATTACATTCTACTGTAGAGAGACAGACAAGAACCAAGAAACACAGTAATTAAATTGGCAAAAACTATGGGAAACAAATGGAGTGGGATAAGGGGACCCGAGGGACAGCTGGAAGGTGGAGAGGGGTGTACAGCGGCAACTGTAGTCACGTTGGGCCCCGTTGAAAATGCTAGAGTGAGTCCTGAAGACCTTTCCAGGTGAAGGAAACAGCTAAGGCAAAGGCAACCAGGCAAGTAAGAGCCTGTCCAAGTCAGAGAAGGAAGGCGGTGAGGATGCAGGGGAACAAACAAGGAGAGTGACAGATGAGGTCAGAGAGAGGTGGGGGGGGGGGGAGGGCAGAGGGAAGCCATGTAGCACACGCAGGCATCAGGAGGACGCTGGCTTCTACGTGCAGTGACATGGGAAGCCACCGGGTCTTCAGCAGGATCATGTTTTAAAAGGATCACGCTGAGGCCACATGTTCATTAGTCACAGAACTTGGGAGCACATCAAAACCACCATGAGATGTCACCTTCACAACCACTAGGACAGCTTTACTCAAAAGACAGACACTAACAAGTGTTGGCAAGGATGTGGGAACCTGGAGCCCTCCCACACCGCTGGTGGGAGGGTCAAATGGTGTCATCGCTCTGGCAAGCAGTCTGCCAGGTCCTCAAGAAATTAAACCGCTCCCATGCGACCCAGCGATTCCACTCCTGGGTACATACCCAAACATCCCGACCACAACCTGTACGGAGTGTCCAGCAGCCTTATTCACAATAACCACAAAGTGGAAAGAATCCACATGTCTAACAACTGATGAATGGACACATGAAATGAGCTATGATCTATATAATGGAACACTGCTTTGCAATAATAAAAAGGAATGACGTACTAATACACGCTACAACACGGGCAAACCTTGACAACATCATGTACAGTGAAAGAAGTCACTCACAGAGGCCATACATTATATGGTTCTACTTACATGAAATCTCCAGAATAGAAAGTCCTAGATTAGTGGTTGCCAGGGCTGGGGGGGCGGGGGGACGACGGGGGAGGGTGAAGAGAAAAACAGGGACTGAATGCAAGTCCGTAGAGGATTTCTTCTTGGGGAGACAAAAATGTCCACGTTTAGATTGTGGTAATAGTTGCACATCTCTGTGAATATCTATGAAAAAACCCTGAACTGTATACCATCGAAATGGGTGAACTGTATGGTGTGTGAATAAAACGATTTCTCACCCTAGCTGGTTTGGCTCAGTAGATAGAGCGTCAGCCTGCAGACTGAAGGGTCCCAGGTTCGATTCCAGTCAAGGGCACATGCCTGGGTTGCGGGCTTGGTCCCCCGTGGGGGGCATGCAGGAGGCAGCTGATCAATGACTCTCAATGTTTCTCTCTCTCTCTCTCTCCCTCTCCCTTCCTCTCTGAAATCAATAAAAATATATTAAAGCAAATAAATAAATAAGTAAATAAATAAATAAACGATTTCTCTCTTTGTAAAATTAAAAAAAGCGTCGCTCTGGTTGCTGTGCTGAAACCAGACCAGGAGGAGGAAAAGGGCAAACCGGTCTCAGCGGGATGGCAAGGGCCTGGATCAGGGGCAGCCTGGTCAGACCCCAGGGAATCTGAAAGTACAGCCAACAGGACTTTCTGATGGTTTGGAGATGGGACATGAGAAAAAAAAGAGGACTCCAGAGTCTGGCCTTAGAAGTTAGATCCATAAAACCACCATCTTCTGAGACGAAGAAAATGTGGTGAAGATCAGAACCGTTTCTGCCAAAAGAAGCTGAAACTCCCAGGGATCAGTAACCTCTCCCGCAGACTCGCCCTTGCCTCACCTCGGGCGCAGCCTGCCTCTTGTTGCTGTCCGAGTCTTCCAGGATCTGCAGATAACTGTGCATGTACTCGGCTGCTCGCTGCCACTGATGCTTCAGCAGGGCTTCTTGGATGAAACTTAAACAGGCACTTGTTGTCTGAGCAAAATCCTTCTCCTTTTTCCCTCTGGTCGCTATAAAGATTAAAGAGAAGAGTCTTTTATGTATTTTTTAATATGACTTTATTGATTTGAGAGAGGAAGGGAGAGGGAGAAAGATAGAAATATCAATGATGAGAGAGAATCATCGATCGGCTGCCTCCTGCATGCCTCCTACTGGGGATCAAGCCTGCAACCTGGGCAAGTGCCCTGACCGGGAATCAAACCATGACCTCCTGGTTCACTGGTTTCTGCTCAACCACTGAGCCACACCAGCTGGGCAAAGAGAGGAGTCTTTTACCCAGTGACCCCAATTCAACAGCTCAAAAACTTACTTCTGATAAGCATAAGTGTTAACAAGTAGAACAGTGGGTATTACCTTAATCCAGCCCATCCCAAATATCAAAGCTAGCTTCACTTAAAACAAACTCTCCAACACTATTTTAACTAGTTTTAGCAAATGAAAAAAAAAAATGTCTAATGGGGAGATTTGTAATTTGATGTTCTACCAGAGTCAACAAACCCTTCAAATCTGACTCCATCACCCTTTCATTCTTGTACTAAACAATCTGAGTAGAATTGTCCAAGAGGGCCCCAAACGCATAGTCTCAAGTCGTTAGAATGTGTAGAAATCATTAGGGCCATCCTAGGCAAGCAGGGCGTTTAGTACCTTCCAGTGTTCTGAAAACAAGAGGTGGGCTTTAATGTTTTTAAGAACTGAGTTCCTAGTAACTCAATGACATTAAATGCAAATTAGACTAAAACAATTCTTTAGATCTCTAAAGAATTGACAATACGGAAAAAAAAGGGGACATGTGTAATATTTCAACAATAAAGATTTAAAAATAAAAGAATTGACAATACTCATATTAAGAATATTTGGAATTAGTTACAACCCTGTTATAGGAGCAACTGGTTGCAGACTGCCACTCCTCTTCCCTTTCCATACCTCTAGGGGACCCCCAGGGGCCAGCAGTCTTTCAGCTCAGGCACCCTTACTCTGGGAGTTCACAGACTAACAGGTACATGCAAACATAGTTTTAGAGCAATCAACTTCCTCCCGTACTCTTTCCTAAAATTGATCTCCTAGAGAACTGTGCCTACAGTCAAGGCTTCGTGAACAAAAGCAATATGAGTTGCCTTAAGGTGAAAATGGAGGAGAAAGTGAATGACTAACATATCCAGCACTTAAAGTCATTTGAGATTCCGTTTCCTCACCTTTAGAATGCCTAGCATCGCCCTGGCCGGCTTGGCTCAGTGGATAGAGCATCAGCCTGCAGACCGATGGGTCCCAGGTTCGATTCCGGCCAAGGGCACATGCCTGGGTTGTGGGCTCGATCCCCAATAGGGGGTGTGCAAGAGGCAGCCGATCAATGATTCTCTCTCATCATTGATGTTTCTATCACTCTCTCCTTCTCCCTTCCTCTCTGAAATCAATCAATAAATATATTTTTAAAAATAAAATAAAATGCCTAGCATGTAGATTTACAGCAGATTAATTTAGCCAATGTCAGGGATATAGTAAGTGCTCAGGAAAAAGAAAAAGAAAAAGACATGTGTATCTGCCATAATGCTGACTATTATTAATTCAAAGGAAAAGAATTCTAAAACAAAAAATCATCTATTTTTTTATTTCTTTTTGGCTGTAGCATAAGAAATTGTCATCTATGTATTCCTATCCTGAAAAGTGAACCACGCTTGGTTATTCATGTTGCATTCATATGGGATCTTATCCTCCCTTGCATGGAGGGTAAAATGGCTGTAGGGTATTTTACTTACCCACACTTTCTACTTGCTTTTGGAGCCAAGGAAGACACATTCCTGAACGAGGGCGGACACTGGTTTCCGCTGGGTCATCCTCTGCCGTGGGCCTCAGCAAGTCTTCGCTGAAATCACTCATACCTACTTCAGACCGAGAACATCAGGTACTTTCTGCACGTCTTAATCCACAGCCTTCTGGGTTATACAGAAAAACAGACATTTCTTAATCTAGCAAATAACACTTGATCAGCAAAATTAATTGTATCCTGTAATTCCTTTTAAAAACATAAATTTGGGCCCTAGCCGGCTTGGCTCAGTGGATAGAGCGTCAGCCTGCGGACTGAAGGGTCCCAGGTTCGATTCCGGCCAAGGGCACATGCCTGGGTTGTGGGCTCAACCCCCAGTGCGGGGCGTGCAGGAGGCAGCCAATCAATGATTCTCTCTCATCATTGATGTTTCTATCGCTCTCTCCCTCTCCCTTCCTCTCTGAAATCAATAAAAATATATTTTTTAAAAAAATAAAAATATACATATAAATTTGTCAGCAACAACCAAAATAAATGACCCATTCAAAAAAAACAGACAAAAACTATGTTTCAAGAAAACACCAAGATAGATAAGCTACCTGCCCCTTGATTTAAAAAACAAAACAACTCAAACCTAAAGGAAGAAACAGCAGCCCTGGTCAGGTAGCTCATTGGTTAGAGCACCCACCCAATACACCAAGGTTTGGGGTTTGATCCTGGGTCAGGGCACAGACAAGACTCAACCAATGAATGCATAGATAAGCGTAACAACAAATTGATGTTTCTCTCTCTCTCTCTCTCTCAAATCAAATAAAGGTATATGTTTTTTTTTAATTTTTAAAAATGTAATAAAGGGAGAAACAGCAAAACAATGCATAATAACAAAACAGTACAATAATAACAGTAATAGTAGTAGTTAACATCTACTGGGCCCTTTTTATACATCGGGCGTATAAATCATCTAATTTAATCCTTACAGACACCCTGAAGTAAATACTATTATTTTCTCCCATCTTCATGTTGAAAAAAAAAAACTGAGGGTCTTAGTGAAGAAACGTAACCTGGCCTGACGTCACAAGCAAGGTGAGGGCAATATTCTATGAACCAGAACTTCAAACTACTTGGCCTGAATGGAGTTTGGGGTCTGTGCGCAGGAGGGGACTGGAATGCAGAAGTGAGGGCGGGAAAGAATCTAGGACAGCCCTATGCCCAGCTGAGTCTGGACTTAACCCTCAAGATGCTCCCCTAACCAGTTTGGCTCAGTGGATAAACCATCGGCCTGGGGACTGAAGGGTCCCAGGTTCGATTCCGGTCAAGGGCAGGTACCTTGGTTGCAGGCACATCCCCAGTAGGCAGCTGATCGATGTTTCTAACTCTCTCTCCCTCTCCCTTCCTCTCTGTAAAAAAAAAAATCAATAAAATATATTTTTTTAAAAGATGCTCAGGGCCCTCTCCTCGCTCCCCACTCCGATGGCTCGTTAGGTCCTGCTGACGGCTGCCTGCTGGCCCTTGCATCTGCCCCTTCTCCGCAATCCTGCGCCGGCACCTTCACACTGGGTCCACCAGCACCTTCACACTGGGTCCAGCTTCCTGCACTCGCTTTCCGAATAGTGACTCTGCCTCAGATTCAGCCACTGCCTGCGTAGATCTTTCAAAACCAAGCTCTAGAGTCGGGAGCATGGGCTTTAAATGGCACCAGAATCTGAGCCCCACGCGCATGCATTTTAACCAGTAGCTCTCCCTTTCCAAATTCTCCAAGGCTGCAGGGGCGTCATGCATTTGCCGAGTTCGCCAAAGTCCCTCCACCCTCCCGCCTGCGGTGATGGACGGAGGGTACCGCGGCACTCACCGCCGGCAGCAGGGCCTCTCTTCGCACCGCCCAACGCAGCCCCGGCTCCGACGCAGCCAGAGCAAACACCGGAAGTGGAGTTAGCCAGAGCTCCGTGTGAGCATGCGCGAAGCCCGCTCCCGGCTCGCGGGCGACGCGCAGACGCAGCCCCGCCCCTAACTCCTCCTGCGGCGGCGCAGTCTTGGCTGTCCGCGGCTCGATCCGACCCCCAGCCCGTTCCCCCGCCCAGGTGACCCGGAAGTGATCGCGAACTCCCGCCCTCCCAGGGCACTCACTCCAGATTTGCACCTTAGGCTGTTGGCGTGGGAATAATGGGAGACTTTTGGGGCGACCGGAGGGCAAGTGGTTGGTGGTCCGAGCACAGCAAATGTGCATAGCCTTTCCATTGCTTCCTTGAAACCATTGTTCTCTTTTCTTAAAATGGGAGACTTTTGGGGCGACCGGAGGGCAAGTGGTTAGTGGTCCGAGCACAGCAAATGTGCATAGCCTTTCCATTGCTTCCTTGAAACCATTGTTCTCTTTTCTTAAAATTAAGTTTTGAATTTAGGGGACCCTTGACTACCTCCCCAAAGGTTGGGCAAGACTTTTGTTGTCCCCCCCCCGTCTCAGCAGTGGTGGTTCTGCTGACACCTGGAGTCGCTGTCATGAGGACCATAGACAAACTTTTTTATGAAATAGGGGTGGAAAGTAGGGTGGCGAAGTGTGAAATAACGGAAAGTAGAGGAGTCCTAGGCAAGACAGCCCTGGCAACGCAGAGGCCAATGGTAAATGTGTGTGAGATAATTATGGAGAAATATACAATAGATGCATAGCTAGCACTTTATGACTAGGAGCATAAGGATAACTATCTTATACTTTTTATTAAGGTCTTCAGATTCATCTGAAATGGCAATGAAACTCTCAAATATCCCAACGATAATCTCAACCTCTGATTACAAAAAAAAAAAAATTTGGTGGATCTTGAGATAACCACCATCTTTCTTTCTCCTTCTGCAATAGTTCCAAAAGAGCTTGGCCAAAATATGTTAAATTCTAAAACACAATTTTAAGCTTTTCATCTCTTTAAAATAAGTATATGGAGAATAATGTACAGATCTGTACAAATATATGGTATGGATCTGATGTTAATTTTTAATCCCTGCCTTCTTGAGCTGTGCTATCTTTAAATGTGTCTAGTCTGAATTAATATGCACTGTAAGTGTAAAATACATACCAGATTTCAAAGATTTCATATAAAATAATGTCAAATGCCTCATTAATAATTTCACATTGATTACAAATTGAAACAGTAATGCTTTGGATGTATTGTATTAAATAAGATGTATTATTAAAATTAGTTTCATCTGCTTTGTTTTACCTTTTTTTATTTTTTATTGATTTTTTACAGAGAGGAAGGGAGAGGGATAGAGAGTTAGAAACATCGATGAGAGAGAAACATTGATCAGCTGCCTTTTGCACACCCCCCACTGGGATGTGCCCACAACCAGAATGGAACCTGGGACCCTTCAGTCCACAGGCTGACGCTCTATCCACTGAGCCAAACCGGTTAGGGCTGTTTTACCTTTCTAATGTCACTTGTAGAAATTTTAAATTTGTAGCTGGCATCATATTGCTATTGGACAGCATTGGTCTTGGGAGTCAGTGAGACGTAAGGGAAATATCAGGTTTAGATCCATTATTTAATCATTCTGGTTTGATGTCATTCATTCATCCTCTAATGCATTCCATATCATTTCCTATCCGATGCATATTTAAATAGGGATGAACTTTTTTTTTCTTCATCTTTTGATAGGGATATACTTTTATACTTGCAGGAAACTCTTACTCTTCCTGTATGCAATTGCTCGACATCCACACTTGAATAGTCTTCATGATAGCATTTATGTTCCTGTTCCTAATTTTATACTGAATGTGTAGATTAAAATGCTGAGGATTCTGAAGGTTTGCTTTGTCTGGATGTGTGATCTGTTAACAGGTTGTCTGTGCTTGTACATCAAGAACTTATTTTCAAAAAAAAAACAAAAACTTATTTTCTTCCTCTCAGTTCTTAGTATCTCCTCCAGGAGGCGCCTTTGAACTGCCAAGCACAGCCTGGGAGGTTGCTACCTGCCACGCTGACTTTTAGTAAGAAGGGAGGTGTCCAGTGGTAGGTTCCATCTAAAAATGTCTCCCTTGTGACCAAGTCATTGATTGGCTGAGACTCTTGTTGCACCATCAACCATAGCTGTTGGCTAAGAGCCAGATATGTTTGCTGTTTAAATTTTTAAACAACATAAATGGGCAACCTTTAATATGTGATCTTATTTGCTTCTTAAAGAAACACCATGAAGTGTTAACATTTAGCCCCAATTTTATAGATGAGGAATCTAAGACACAGAAAAATTGATGACTCGCCCAGGTCACACCATTGCACTCCTGACAGCTAGCTTAATTCTTCTGACTACATTCCCTGCCTCCACTCTTGTCCTGTAAGAAAGTAATTCATATCTGAAAACTATAATGGATGAGCCAGCCTACACTGTGGAAGTTGAATTGTACAGGTCCCACCCTGGAATTTGTTCTGCATTTGTATCAAAGCACCAAATATTTGACTTCTGTGAAAATAGCGCCAAGGTAAATTAGGCAGAACCGGAAACCGGAACTTACATACGAGCTTACTGTATATATTAGTGGCAGTTTCAGATGTTTGCCTTTCTTTCTTTGTACAATAGAAATGGGGACATTTACCAGGACTGGACAAACAGAACATGCTGATAGAAGACCTTGGCTTGCATATGACTCACTCCTAGTAGAACATACCCTTTGACACGGCACTGACATGCTTTTTGATGTCGGGGAAGGATTTAACCCTACTAGCCATGCTTAACACAAAACTCCATTCTCCCTGGCTTTCAGAACAGGATATTTACTTAAAGTTCACTTCAGTTTTATGATTCCTTTACTTAAAGTCTGATAGCTTTCTCTGTTTGACTCTACTAAGTCTAAATTCTTGTGCTTGATTTTCTTTTTTTTTTTGCTTGATTTTCATAAGTTGACCTACCCTAGCCACCCAAATTTATCTCCCAGTTCTCTTTAATAGGATCATTTTGCTCTAGAAAGATAAGGTCTCCTTCCTGTCCTTTAAAAATTGCTTCCTGCTCTGGTTTGTATTATTTGCTTTCTTCAATTTGCCCTTTCCTGTCTTTTTAGAATCTAAATCCTACTTACTCACCGAGACCGAACTCAAATCCCACCGCCATCATTTACTTTCCTCCTCCTTTGAACTCTTTAGTGCTTAGAATTTGTACCCAAACACATTTTAGCACTAATTGTGTGCCAGGGTTCTTTTCTCCCTCCCATCTCCCCATTCTTTTTTTTCTTTTTAATATATTTTATTGATTTTTTACAGAGAGGAAGGGAGAGAGACAGAAAGTTAGAAACATCGATGAGAGAGAAACATCGATCAGCTGCCTTCTGCACATCTCCCACGGGGGATGTGCCCGAAACCCAGGTACATGCCCTTGACCGGAATCGAACCTGGGACCTTTCAGTCTGCAGGCCGACACTCTATCCACTGAGCCAAACCGGTTTCGGCCGTCTCCCCATTCTTACTAAGAGAGATGGTTGGTATTAGGAGAGATTTGTTGATCTTGTAGGAGTTTCCATTCTAAAGAATATGATGAGGATCCGGAGTCATGCTCCACCCTCAGAGGTGGAGCCCAATGGAGGCTCCTTGGGCACAGGTGTAAAAGGTGGGCCCATCTCCTAGACACTGACCACACAGGAAGACACTAGACCAGTGGTTCTCAGCCTTCCTATGCCGAAACCCTTTATTTATTTTTTTAATTTTGTGCACTAGACACAAAAGCCAGAAATCTGGGAAGAGAGAAGAAAGGAAGACCTCAAGATGCTGCGTAGGAAATGATACTGTGCAGGCTGACTTGACAGGGTAAAGAAATGTGTGTTTGTTGCTTTTTCTGACTCACTGTATTGCAACCAATCACAGTGTTTTTCTTTTTAACCAAGATCTTTACTAGGATTAACCTGGTTTATAACACGTCAGGTTATTTGTCTTTTTATTATTGAATTTTAAGAGTGCTTTGTATATTCTAGATCAGTGATTTTCAACCTTTCTTATCTCGTGACACACATGAACTACTTACTAAAAGTCCGCAGCACACCAAAAAAGTGTTTTGAAGATTAAATGAATTGATACATATAAAGGCCTTAGAATAACTTATCCTCTCCCAAGGAAAATAATATTAGCTGCCATTAGCTCTCGCCTAGTCTGACATTGATTCGTTAGTCGTTTTTTTTATATATATTTTATATATATATATTTATTTTACAGAGAGGAAGGGAGAGAGAGATAGTTAGAAACATCGATCAGCTACCTCCTGCACACCTCCTACTGGGGATGTGCCCCCAACCGAACCTGGGACCTTTCAGTCTGCAGGCTGACGCTCTATCCACTGGACCAAACCAGTTACAGCATCATTAGTCGTTTTTATGCCAGTTGGTTTCCACTGAATTGTGGGCTTCCTTAGGGCCAAATATCTTGTCTTTGACTTACATATTTTTGCACACCACCCCAGTATTTTGTCCGGTGCCTGGCATGACATGGCAGCATAAAATGGAAGCTCAACACATTTGTGTTGAGTTCAGTTACTTCTTCCCTTATGGATAAAGACCCCCGCACCCGCAGATCTCAGCACGGGCACCCATTGCCCATCTCCATCTCCCAGGCCCCCTCAAAAGACCAAACCCGCCACCTGCTCTAATGACCTCGCCAACGCACCACTCCACTCCTCCCCCCCTTCCGGTGCCTGGGATGGAGCCTCCAAACAGGGACGAACAGTGTCAGGCCGCGGGTGGGATTTCATAGTTGGGAAAAGGAGGTACCAAACCAAGAATGGGGGGTGCGGATCAGAAATGAGAGGCTTCGAGAACCTCGCGCCATCGCACCAACAGGTGGGAGGTTAGGGACCCAAGGTCGCGGGGCGGAGGTGCGGGGAGAGCGGAGAAGGCAGTTGGGTCCTCCTCCCAGACCCCCTTCCTCCGCTCCCGGGGCCCGTGCTGACGTGTCAGCCCAGCAGCTCAACCCGCCCCGGCCCCGCCCCTCGCGCCTGGCCCCGCTCCCT